GGGGATGCTTTAGGGCGGGGCTTACTGTGATTGACAGGTCTCTACCAAAACAGCAGTCGACAAACCAATGAGTGACGTCACGATGACTACGTCCACTTCTTATATACAGTCTATAGTTTGGACATTAAAAAGCTATTTTCCGGTCGATTTACATCCATTAACTTCTTCCTGGAAGTCCACATGAACACATTTACAGAAAGCGATGCTCCTCTTCTCTCTCTCTCTCTCTCCATCGGTCTCTCCAGGGAGGCGGTAGCAGCGCTGGGTCGAGGTCTAGCAGAGCTCCAGATTCAAATCCTATTTATACACCCGAGTGCCTCTGGTAGCTAACGTAGAGCAAACCAGTGGGCGAGAGGAGAGAGAGATGAGTGTGTTAATGTGTGTGATTGTGTACCTTATTCAGCCACTCTACTCTCTCCACATCTGGATAATGGACCTGGAATAAGAGATAGAAAAGCACGAGTTAGAATCATGGCTTCAATTCACATTTCTGTTCCTTTCGTTTGATCTCTTTATTTACTTCATGGTCTTTTGAGGAGCTACAGTTTTCTACTAAAACTCTAATCACTTTGTCATCCACAGACTTCAGACTTCCTGTATCTTGTAACAACACAGTCTACAGCCGTGCTAGCAGCTCTGTGAGGCTTAGAGCTAAATGCTAACACATCTGGCTACCTGAGAAGACCGAGGCTACGCAGCCACAGCGGGATGCAATCTGACGGGACGTCGACAGATAAATAAATACATAAATTAATAATTTGTGTGCGAGTGCTTCCTCCTTTCACCGTTTTGCCTTCACTAGAGGTATTAAATGTACTAAGGAATGAAAAGGCCTCAGTCTGATACGACGGTTTGAATACCAACATTTCTTTCACATGAAGACATCAACTGCACTGTGAACAGAAACAGAACAGAGCGATGAAGTTACATCTTCAGTCTGGAGGACAAAGTCAGAGTCGCTGGAATGTAGTCAAACATGTTCGGGACACAAATTGTTTCATCATCGCCGCAAGATTACTCAAGGTTGAATAAAGTGAAGCTGCGCCAGATAATAATAATATGAATAACTTTATTTATAGAGCACCTTTAAAAACAAAGGTACGAAGTGCTTCACAATAGAAACAGAAGCAACAGAACCCAAGAGGTACAACAAGACGAATGAGTTACATTTAGGAATATTATAAATAATAAGAATCATAAGAATCATTTTTACTCTTGTATTTAAATCATTGTATTTTACTTTTTCTATTTTAGTTTAATTGTTTTCCTTTATTTATTTACTCTTATTGCTGTTGTGTTCTATCTATGGTGTCAGTTTTAATAACTGTTATTCTATTCATCTTTTGTTTGTGTTTTTTTGCTGTTCTTCAGGACTAATAGAGTTTTATCTCATCTTATCTCAAGCCGTGTGGTGAGGGCGAGTCTTTAAAAGAGGAAACACTGAATCACAGACGTGATCTCTTCTGCACTAATCACATTCACACCAGCTGCATCTGCTGCAGACTGGAAACAAAGCAGAGGAAACAAAGAGGGAGAGGAGGAAACACCGACTCATCCGTCCATTCAAACGGAGGGAATGAGACACGTGGACGGAGAATAAAAAGGTAAGGAAGTGCAGCTAACGTCGGGCCAAAGATCAAATGAATGACAGTCATTCACATGATGTAAACAGGAAATACCAGCCAACATGACTCATCATTAAGAGACCGAACCGGTGATAAAATACTAAATATAGGAGAAGAAGAAGAGGAAACGGAGACAGAATATACTTATAAAATAAACTGAATTGATGTTCTTTAATATCTTATCCCGTGATGCAGAACGCTGTGAAACAGAGATGACAAAGCAAGGAAACGGATTAATTTCCTCTAAATAAAACGGGAACATCAATGGCTCGGCACTTTGAGAGTGAAGGAGGACGAAGGCTTTTAAAAGGTCAGTCCTCCCTTCCATCCGCTCTCAGGAGGAACAGAAGATGTAATGGCTCACGATGCTAGAATGCAAAGACGAGGCCTTTAGACACCGACGATGTCCTCAGTCAGGGACTAGTACTCATTACGTTAAGGCAACATGACACACCTATCATCTTAATGACGCTAAGCCCCGCCCTTAACAGGTTAGCAGACAAAGATAGTTTAGGGTTTAGGATTGGAGCTTCCCTTTTAATTACAGCCACACGTGTGTGAGTGTGTGTGTGTGTGTGTGTGTGTGTGTGTGTGTGAGTCAAAGCCGGTCCAGTGGGTGGGACTCACAGTCCAACTATGTCACAGGTGTTTGGAAACCTCCCTTTCCAGCCACACCCCCCACTACAATGCATGTGTGTGTGTGTGTGTGTGTGTGTGTGTGTGTGTGTGTGTGTGTGTGTGTGTGAGAGAGAGACGGGTGTGGAGAAGATGAACATTTCTGTCGAGTACAGCTGGAATATATTAATACAAACATAAGCGGGACAACCAGGAAACCTGCTCAATCAGCGCCAAAAAGGTGCAGAAACCGGAGAAGTATGTGACGGCCGCTCCATGTTGACGTCTGTATTTAGGCTCAGAGAGACAGAGACAGAGAGAGAGAGAGACAGAGACAGAGAGAGAGAGAGACAGAGAGAGAGAGAGAGAGACAGGTTGTCGAGGATGTGAGGAGGACAGACTGCAGCCAGGACAGAGATCAGTGGAGGAAACCTGAGCGCTCTGTTGTGCAGAACCAGACTCTATTTTCATGTTCGACAGATTTCAGTCGCAGCCTGAAGTCAGCTGCATGTTGTTAAAGTGGATTTCATACGTAGAGGCCCTGATGCACAACACTGTCTATTAAACTGTATCAAAATAACAGTTATTTAAACTCAGCTCATACTTAATACACACAAACGGTCTCTTAAAATGTGTGTTCATGTGACCGGGCTGCGGTTCATAAACGTGGCTCCAGAACAAGATGCTGTCGTTCTGTCAACGCAGCGCATCAGCACAACATTTGCACATATTCATCTAAAGAAAAGCCGGATTCTCTCCAAGAAGTATTGGCAAGCAAATCATCTCATGGATCGCCTGCTCATCACAGTGGTTAGAAGGTCTTCTCCTGCTCCATCATCATCACTATTGTTGTGTGTGTTCACTATGAACCCTGAGACAAAGCTGCATCTCCCTCACGGGACAAAAGAGTTTGAATACATTTGAATGCAAACTGAATATTCAGCAGCATCGTGACCCAGTGAACCTCTGACTGTCTGTTTTAAGACTCTATGAGTCAAGATCCCCAAGCTCTAAACATTAAGACGAACTTTAGAGTGATCATTTAATTTTCTACCAGGGTTGCAAAATATAAAAACTAGCTTTTATTTCATGTTTAACAAGCTCCACTAAACTGTATCAGCTTCATAATTTTAACAACACGATATCTACCTAAGTGCCTCATTCTAGCGCTAAAGAAAGATGTCATGTAGTTTCAAGAGAGGTGGACGACTGATCGGGTGTTTCATGAGTTTTAATGTGAGTTCAAAGTTGCTGTCCCGCAGCAATGCGGTTATATGTGGAGTTACTTTACTGAGCATGCAAAACAAGTCTAATAGAAAGGAGTGCAGAGGCAGAGACGACGTTAAAATGTATTAAAACAAAGAGCAACGTTTGGGGGTGTTTACATCCATATTAGGTAAAGATTGTAGGAATGGTCTTTTTATCCTGAGGGGACCTTAAATTGTTTATTTTTTAATAGTTAACCAGAGAGGTCCAATCGAGATACAATCAGATTTTCTACCAGAGGAATCTGGTCAAGACGAGAAGCAAAATAATAACTTTCACATGCAAACGGAGACAGATAACCTAAAAACAAACCCAAACACAACAGACACAAACAAACAGGAATCAGAGGCTAAAAGAATGAAGTATTTAATAAACGAGAGTTTAAAGATCCCAAATTCAGTTTGCTTTGCAGCTCTGTTTGTGTGTTTGGGACCATGAGGAGAATCATCAACAAACAGAGTTCAACTAGTGTGGATTTAAACCCCCCCCCCCCCCCACCACACTTTAACAGAACAGTGGAATCGTTCACAGACTGGAGGTGGAAGCAGGGCTGAGCGGCGCAACAGCTTTCTGTTCCACCACATTGTTTCCAGCAGCCCTGCCCTTTGGCACCGTCAAAGGATCCGGGAGGACCCACCCGAGTGAGCCACGTCATACCAGTACAGGAGGGGGGGTGGGGGACAGTTCCACCGCGGTCGTGGTAGCTTTCAACGTCTTTAAAAACACTCGTGACAAAGTCAGACTTCTTCAGACGAGGTTGTTTTAACATTTTACCGTTGAGGTTAAGTTTGACTGAACGATTCTTTATTTTCAGAGTTACACCGACCAACACCTAACAACTGCCCGGTGCAGCACTCTGACTCACACGCTACCATCTGAAGGGTTGAAAGCCTCACAAACAACAGAACAACACAGACTTGATGCGGGTCTGTTCTGTGCTTTAGTGAAAGATATGTAGACCTCAGTATAGTAAAGATATTAGTGACAAAATGCACTCAAATTAATATCAAATATCTAAATAAAAAGGAGATAACAAACAAAAAAGATACAATTCTCCAGTTAATACATTTGTGGATCAACTAAACTGTTAAAGTCCATACTATAATAAACATACCATGGGTTCCTTGATTGGTTTTAGACTAAAATAAATTATATTTTATAGTTTTTCAGACAAATCAAACAACTTGACGACATCACGTTATACTCATGATGGGCACTTGTCTTTTTGATGTTTATGTACATGAAACAAGATCTTAAAGCTAATTGATGTAATGGTGTAAATAACGGTGTAAACGGTGCACCCCCAAAGGGCGTACATGAGGGAGGGCGTGCAGGCTTTCACCTGATTCACCGTCACTTCTTCTGATTACTTTAGATGCGATGAAGCAATATCATACGCACATTTTCACTGGTATCGGTATCAGAACAACTCCAAAGAAATGCCTCGTCCGACTGCAGACGTGTTCTGAAAGACGTCCAGTCAAAACACCGATGCTCAGAACACGAGAGCTCAAATATCAGCTGCTGCATTGTGAGTTATTCTACAGGAATGTGGTTTTACTCTGTAAACCTGTGGCCTACATCCTGCAGCCCCGTCTCTTACGTCATGCATCGCTAATCACATTAAGAGCTTTAGAGGTTGCACATGCGGGTCCGGCTTCTGCTTATCTTTCGCTCGCTTCGTCACTAACTTTATGATGTTCCGGCTCAAAGGATTACAGGAAAATCGAGTAATCGTGGACACGGACACGCGGACGGTTACAGACGGCGGGACTGACAGCGTGCTTCTTTCAACGGCAGTTTAGATCGTAATGTTGCATGAGACCAAAGACGGAAAGATAAATGGCAGAAATGTATGAAATTAGAATAATAGATGTCGGGTTGTATGGGAAATTTCTCTGAAATTATCTTCCGATAATTATTTTCACTC